AACCTATTTACTCTTCAGGGCTATCCATTGCTATCACTTCATGCTTACTTGCATGAAAAATACAATCACCTCTTTCAGTCGAACTTCCCCATTTTCTTCTTTATTCGGTCTCTGACTTGATGGATGTGTACATGCGTGAACGTGCATGTGTCACTGTGCATGCATATACACTGTTATTATTCTGAAACAGATCAGAGGTCGTCTATAGTGAAGTTCATCATCGACTGTGAATATAATCACACGGCCCCGAGTTTCATTAAAAGTGTCATTCGTAATCTCCGCAATCTCCTTGGTGATGGGAGCATCCACGCCGACAGCGTGCACGGCGAGAGCGGAGGCACAGCATTGTTTGTACAGATGTCTGCCAAGGCTCATACCAGGCTCTGGGAGTTCTGTAAGGATCAATCTAGCCTGCTCGCTGGTCTGCACATTCTCGAAGTGTCAACTGTGGACGGAGCAGTAGTCTTCAATTTCCGTCCCACGACATGCAATGGCGAAGGTAAGACGGATTGGTGCTGTAGGAAATAGGATGCACCGATAGCAGCCAGTTAATTCCTAAGCCTTGGTCCCATGATGATAGAGAGATCATCACTAGTCAACAGACGACTGGCTGTCGTGTGGGAAATTGGTTACTACATGCACATTTCGGTCCATAATGTTTGTCCGCAAACAAGTTTTCGAGGAGACCCTTTTGACAGAACCAAGTAGTGTTTACAACCAAACAGCTTCCTTGATATGCTTCAATTTACCTCTGGAGCAAAAAGTCTGAAACTCTTTGTTTTCTTGTTCAGGTATTACTCCTGATGACCAGAAGCGCTTGGTTGAAGAGTTCTCCAAGAGATATCCATCCTTGGACCGAGATCAGCTGTCTGTTGCTGTGGCTGACCAACAGAACGTTCAGCATGCAGTGATTGCACTGACCAAGCTCGGCTTCGATGATGACGAAGCATGCTTGAATGCACTGCCTGAGATTCTACGTGGTGAGTTTCAATACCATTGTTTTGTGGTTGTGTTGCGTGTACTGTGTCTATTGGTCCCTGCCGTCACTGTTGCGAACAGGTGTGCATCAGCGATTATATTTACATCGTGTTATAAAAGCATAAACGCCGTATCATTTTGGCAATGTCACTGGGACCACGATGAAGAGAAATGGTGCGTATTGCCGCATCGGAATAATCGGAGGACGGTTTGGTGCATGTATTGATGAACTTGTGGTCCTTCAGAAAAGCCTCCCTTTGTACTGAACCTCCCGAGGCCATTGTGCTGCAAGTAGAAATTTCAGCAAGTCTGTGGAGGGTATTCCCCTATAGGTGATGTGTGTGCGGGGGGAGGGAGGAGGGGGACATATGAATCTCTCGCATCTTAGCACCAGCAACGTTACTCGCTGTTATGCGGGATTCACAGAAGCATTTTTACGATGCAATGCGCAGTGCGACATCCGCGAAATTAGGAAATTCTTTAAACGCACCGATCGCACAGTTCACTCAGCCGTCACAACTGGCTCATCGCAGAAGTAGAGCTTGCCACTGCTTGGCTCAACTTCTGCCGTGTGACATGCGATGTGATGTACGATTTTGACCTTTGCAAGAAAGTTGTACGAAAGGTTCAAGAGTTGCTTGCAGATTTGTGCAAGTTGTACCCGACTACACAACTGCCACAATGACGTACGCATTTGCATTGAGCTTTGAGGCATGTCAGCAAGGCGTCGTCTACTTCTGTGTATGGTAATTTGCGAGTATGCATCGTACTGCGGTGTCGCAGATCGCGTTGTTTTGCCCAAAGGCTATGGGCAATACAACCCAATGTGCGACACCGCAGTGCGATGCATACTCACAAAACAAAATGCAATGCTATTGGCCATAGCATTGCAAGAACGCTTCTGCGAATGCCACCTAAGATGTAAGGAAAACAAGTGACCCTGCAGTCGTAAAATTATGCTTTGCCTTTCCTGTTGCGGTCTTTCATAGGTGTGTCGGCAAGAAAGACAACTTCTATCCCTGCTGACGTTCACCGTACGTACAACAATATGGCTGTGATGAAGCCTTGGTCCATCAAAATGCACAATGCATATGAATCTCTTGCATCTAATGGCCGGGTTCTACTGCGGCTCCGCTGCTCGTCATTCGCGGCTTGAAACGTCATCATTACCATAGTGACCGTGGCTCGAGCTAGAGGAGCGAGGCCGCGGCTCATTGCGAGCTTTCGCTACGATTCTTGATCAAAAACTACGAGCCTTTTCGGGGCTCGACCTGTTCCCCCGTACTTTGCATTGTTTTGTACGCGAAAATTTTAAAATTCAAATTTTAGTCCGTTGCGCACGCCAGAACACGAGGATTTTTTGATTTCGCGCTCACAGGCAGGTGAGACGTCATCAAAAAACGTGGAGCACGACGGCGGTACCGCGAATGGCGAGTGTCAGTGTAACCGCGCTGCTCCGCTGCATGCAGCCAAAACCCGCTGAGCAGCGGAGCCGCAGTGGAACCCGGCCCTTAGCACCAGCAACGTCACTCGCTGTGATGCGGGATTCACAGAAGCATTTTTACGATGCGGTGCGCGATGCGACAGCCGCGAAACCAGGAAATTCCCAAACGCACCGATCGCACAGCTCACTCAGCCGTTGCAACTGGCCCATCTCAGAAGTTGAGCTTGCCACTGCTTGGCTCAACTTTCGCGATGCTACATGCGATGCGATGTACGATTTTGACCTTTGCAACAAAGTTGTACGAAATGTTCAAGAGTTGCTTGCAGATTTGTACAAGTTGTACCCGACTACACAAATGCCACAGTAACGTACGCATTTGCTTTGAGCTTTGAGGCACGTCAGCAAGGCGTCGTCTACTTCTGTTATTGGTAATTTGTGAGTATGCATCGCACTGCGGTGTAGCAGACCATGTTGTATCGCGCATAGCATTGCAAGAATGCTTCTACGAATGCCACCTAAGATGTAAGGAGAACAAGTGACCCTGCTATCGTAAAATTATGCTTTGCCTTTTCTCTTGCGGTCTTTCTTAGGTGTAGCGGCAAGAAAGGCAACTTCGACCTCTGCTCACGTTGACCGTAGGTGCACCAATATTGCTGTGATGAAACCTTGGTCCATCACAATGCACACGTGTACATAATGTGTGTTTGGGTGTGTGTGTGGGTGTGGGTGTGGGTGGGTGTGTGTGTGGGTGCGTGTGTGTGTGTGTGTGTGTGTGTGTGTGTGTGTGTGTGTGTGTGAGAGTGTGTATGTGTGTGTGTGTGTATGTGTGTGTGTGTATGTGTGTGTGTGTGTTTGCTAGGCTTAATACACGTGCTGTTCTTTCTGGCCTCCCTCATGTCGCTCCGGTGGGAATTTCACAGGACCGTCAAATTATCTTGGTTTTTCATTTACATTGTAGTTTCAAGAAAGTGGCACCTCCGAATGTTGCAGCTGCTGCTTTCTGCCGAATAACTGACACTTGGCTGACCAACAGCTGCTGCCGTCTGGAGCACATGAGCAGCACGTTGAGCAAAGAGTTGTACTTTCTTGCAGGTTTGCCGAGTGGAAGGTTCGACGTGCTCCTGGTATGCTTAAGACGGCTGTCGTGTGTCAGTCAAGTGTCAAGTCACTCGGCAGGAACGCCAACACTTGGGTCTGTCACAAACAGCATTTTCGAGCAAGAGAATTCAGAATGTTGTGTACCTCAAAAAAGCGATGTTATCATCACAGTACGGAATAGTGGTAGCAACATCGAGACAGTGCAGAGAAATGCCTCAGGCTTGAATCTGTTTTCCTGCCATTCTTTTTTTCATTTCTTATTTTGTCTCCTTTCTTGCAGATCCTGAAGAGGCCATTTCAACCCATGTCTCTGCCAATTCTGAACACGCAGTAGAAATCCAGGGAGCTGACAATGAGCTGTCTCTCCGGCCACAACTTAAGTCCCAGGTAAGAAGAGACCAGATGCAAACATCATAGGTACCGCAAGGAAAGATTTAGGTCTGGTCCTGTTTGGTGTGTGTGTGTGGGAGGGGAGGGGTGGGGGGGGGGGGAAGGGACATGTACCCCTTGAAACATTTGACGTGGAGTATGGTGCGCTGTTGTATTTCATTGAACTCTGAGAAATAGAAATTTAACCCATTCAGTGCCAAGGACGAGATTACTCGTCCTACAGACCCCCTCGCGATTGGCCAAGGACGAGATATCTCGTCCTCGTAGTGCGCACTACTATATCTCACTGGCCATGCACTACGATCTAGCTTGGCCGATTGTGGCTCTTCGAGGGGAAACTAGCGGTTTTCCCCTACTGAATAAGACCTCACTGGCCGTGTTTGAGTAAGTATGGGCGCGGGAGCATACATTCAAAGCGCGAGCGCGAAAAACATATTTCGATTCAGAAACAATTAGATTGACAGAACGTACTTTAGGTCTCTCTAGCTGTCACTCAGATCGGCGAGTCGCCGCATGTCGGCAGAAGAGGTGCTCCAGTCCATCATGGACTCGGACAGTGATGACTGGAGCTGCGAGAGTGAAGGCGATGACTCGGATGCGGACATAGCCGTCCGCGATCGTGACGGAACAAATTTCGCGGACGAGTCTGCCTTAGTCGATGTCGTACCTACTGCTGTGGTCGCCTTGGACGGCCCTGAGGATATCGAAGATGTCGATGTCGAGCTTGAACAGGGCACAGCAGCACAAGCTACGCCAGCGGAGGACAACAAGTCGGTTTGAGTTGATACGACTAAATTGAAAAAATCAGATTTTTCATGAAAATGGCACGGCCAACCGCGTGCATCTGGCCTGGCACTGAAAGGGTTAATGCAATCAAATTTTGTAAGAAA